GGCACTTGCTCGAGGCCGGGGAGCGGCCAATGCGGGGTCGTTAAGATCGAGGCGTGGGAGCGGCGGATGCGGCATCGGCGGCGGCAATAGAAGAGTAACGTTGGCGGCGGCGACCTGCGAAGAGGCGAGGGGAGCGGTGGTGGCGGCGTCGGGAGAGAGGATGAGAGGGAGAGAGAAGGGCAGCAGCAAGCAGCACCTCGTCCGTGTCGCGTAGTGTCCCAGATGCGGCTCTTGGGTGTCGCCGGCGAGAGAAGACGGGGAGGAGCTCTGCCCAACCCTTTCATGGAGCTCGCTCAGCCGCCGGCCGGCCGTAGTGGAGAAGATGGCGACGGTAGACGATGGTTCCCCGTGATGAGGTGATCTCTCCCATACCCTCCTTCCTCTCACCTCTCCCTCAAGATCCCCGTTCTGGAACAAGATGGATGAAGGTGACCATCCAGCTGGTTGACTCGCTGCCACGCGTAGGCCACCTCTGCCTCATGTTGAGGTTGACGCACACCGTCTTAGGAGCGTGGACTCAAGTGACGTTGAGAATCCTGGGAACAATATTGTCATGACTGGTTTCTCATCTCATCTAACTGATTGAGATCTAGAGAAGCATTTTTCTACAGAGGGAGAGGTAATCTTTGTGGACATATTTGCTGAGGAAAACAGTGTATGCATATGAAAAGATTGCTAACAATTCCACTTCTTTATCTTGCTGGTTGTGCCACAGGTGATTGATGCAAGTATAGTACTTGATCCATGGACAAGGGTATCACGGGGATTTGGATTTATTACCATGGCTACTCTTAAGAAGGCAGAACGCTGCATCAAATATCTGAACTGTTCAGTGCTAGAAGTCCGTATCATTATTGTTGAGAAGGTATTGCTAAAAGAAAGTTAACTCTATGATATTTGTCCATTCTATTTCTATATGGAGGGGAATTAATATGTACAGATGAGCTTTCCAAACTGAATATTTGAGTGCTCTTGCTGTTTGAATTTTTTTGTTCGCAACAGTATGTTGGTCTGAAATCAAATTCAGAGGATACACAACCTAAGATCGACACATACCTACCCGAACCAAATGGTCGTACGCCCATCATTATTATTATTTTCAATGCTATTTGTGTTCTTCATATCTCCAATTAATTTATTCAGTCTTACTTTTGACATAAAATGCAAGTTGACTTTGAACCCCTTCTCCACCTCAGGCAAGGTCGAACACCAACACCGAGAAGGTATCTTGGCACCAAATCATCGCGAGAAGAAGGGTATGTGTTGCTGTGGGAGGTTGTTGTGTTCGTGTCGAGAGGCTGCAGAGTTCATGGAAACTTTTGGTGTAGCACAAGATCAAATAGGAAATCAACGGCTAGAGAGTAAAATGATGGGGTGACCTTAGGGTTTAGCTTTTATAACAAGTAGCCAAGTACGCAGAAGTGCATATTCATATGGACTCTTCTTTTTAAATCGGTTGGACTCACCTTTTAATCTTGATCGGAGAGGACGGAGAGAGTCGTGAGAGATTGGGAGAGAGGCAGAGACAGAGCGCATGTTCCCATTTTAAGATGTTCCTATCTTTAGTTCTGCTACTTCATCTGATGACTCATAATTTCCAGGGAATTTTTAAACAGAGGAAGGAGAATCGTCAGAGATTGGGAGAGAGGCAGAGCGCATGTTCTGGTCTTCGGATTTGCTTTTTTCTGGGGGTACAAATCTGCCACTTCATCCGATGGCTCATAGTTTCTAGGGAATTTTGTATTAATATGAAATTCAGGTTCTATCTACACTAATAACTCTGCCCCATCAGATTAACGACTTCTAATTTCTGATCAACCTGGGATCTTTTAGGGAGTCTCTAATTAGTATAAACAGATATATATAGATCTGCTTTTTTAGGGGTTCAGATCTGCTGCTACTTCATTTGATGGCTCATAATTTCGAGGGAACTATATATTAACGTGGAAATTCAGGATCAATCTACACCATAATAACTCGGCCCCACCAGATAATTGGCTCCGAATTTCTGATTAACATATTAATTCTAGGGAGTCTATAACTAATATAGGTATATAGAAGTATAGATAGATAAAAATGATAGATAGGAAAAATACTTTTCCTGATAGACCTAATCATACAATTTTTCTAAAGTAGATATTGATTATTTTTTCTAAACACATGGTCAAACATGCACATGCTTAGGGGGTGTTTGTTTCCAGGGACTTTTTGGTGTAGGGACTAGAAAAAGTCCCTAGCAAACCAAACAGGGTGGGACTTTTTTGGGACTTTTTGCTAAAAGTCCTTACAAGCACCTCCTTAAGAGTCTTTTTCAAAAAGTCTCAGGGACTAAAAAAAGTCCTAGGACTAGAGAGACAAACACCACCTTAACTTTTGGAAAAACTAATACACCTTATATTTTGGAACAAATGGAGTAGTTGGCATGCACATCTTGATTGCCCAGCTAGCGTGTGCTACCACTTGTATGATGAGCATAATTAGTTTCATGTGATAAGCTGGCATACCAAATTTTGGCAACTGCCAAATATTGGCTAGAGATTGGGAGAGAGGCAGAGCGCATGTTCTGGTCTTCGGATTTGCTTTTTTTTGGGGGGTACAAATCTGCCACTTCATCCGATGGCTCATAGTTTCTAGGGAATTTTGTATTAATATGAAATTCAGGTTCTATCTACACTAATAACTCTGCCCCATCAGATTAACGACTTCTAATTTCTGATCAACCTGGGATCTTTTATGGAGTCTCTAATTAGTATAAACAGATATATAGATCTGCTTTTTTAGGGGTTCAGATCTGCTGCTACTTCATTTGATGGCTCATAATTTCGAGGGAACTATATATTAACGTGGAAATTCAGGATCAATCTACACCATAATAACTCGGCCCCACCAGATAATTGGCTCCGAATTTCTGATTAACATATTAATTCTAGGGAGTCTATAACTAATATAGGTATATAGAAGTATAGATAGATAAAAATGATAGATAGGAAAAATACTTTTCCTGATAGACCTAATCATACAATTTTTCTAAAGTAGATATTGATTATTTTTTCTAAACACATGGTCAAACATGCACATGCTTAGGGGGTGTTTGTTTCCAGGGACTTTTTGGTGTAGGGACTAGAAAAAGTCCCTAGCAAACCAAACAGGGTGGGACTTTTTTGGGACTTTTTGCTAAAAGTCCTTAAAAGCACCTCCTTAAGAGTCTTTTTCAAAAAGTCTCAGGGACTAAAAAAAGTCCTAGGACTAGAGAGACAAACACCACCTTAACTTTTGGAAAAACTAATACACCTTATATTTTGGAACAAATGGAGTAGTTGGCATGCACATCTTGATTGCCCAGCTAGCGTGTGCTACCACTTGTATGATGAGCATAATTAGTTTCATGTGATAAGCTGGCATACCAAATTTTGGCAACTGCCAAATATTGGCTAGAGATTGGTTGCTTGCCGCCAATTTTCGTTGCTAATCTCACAAAAGGTTGCCAAATGTTGGCAACTTTTGATTTTGCCAAATGTTGATAGCAAATCAATTATGCTTGATATCTGGTGGGCACAAGCAAGAGTGGTGTCTTCTTATGGATAGTGAGTCCTCCTGCCTCTTCCATGCTCATGTCCTCACTTCTCAGCCCCTCTGGGAACTCCCAGTCAAAGTAGTAGAGCAAGTTTGCCAGGGTGAACTCCGTGGTGGCCAACCCCATGTCTATCCCGGGGCACATCCTACGTCCAGCGCCGAAGGGCAGGAATTCAAACTGTGCCCGATTGAAGTTCACATCCTCTTCGCCCTCGAATCTCTCCGGGATGAACTCCTCGGGGTTGTCCCAGTTGGCCGGGTCCCTTCCGATTGCCCATGCGTTCACCAAGATCCTCGTCTTTACCGGCACATCATAGCCAGAGACGGTGATGTGCCGCATGGTCTCCCTCGGCACAAGAAGGGGCAACGCCGGGTGCAGTCGCAACGTCTCCATGACCACCATCTTGAGGTACTTGAGCTTCGTCACATCTTCTTGCTGCAGCTTCTCTTTATCGCCCACCAGAGTCCGGATCTCGTCTTGCACCTTGTTCAGCACGTGTGGATTCCGGACCAGCTCCGCCATTGCCCAGATAATGGTCACCGCGCCTGTGTCGACGGCGCCGATAAATGTGTTCTACAAGATTATATATTTTAGATGAAGTCTTCAAGTTTTTAGGCAGGATATAATGTACTACGAATTGAGCATATAAAGTGGTGGCTCACTCCTTGCAAGTATAGAATTTTATTAGTTCACCGCCTTAATATTTCATACCGTTAGTAGCCCCTTCACGACGTCTCTGCTGACCTTGAAAGAGCCTTGGTGCTCCTCCTTCATGAGGCCGATGAGGACGTCGATGAGGCCGACACAGCCATTGTCATGCTTGGCCTGGTCGAGCATCATCTCAAAGAAGGCGTCGAACTCCTTGAAGACCCTCTCGCGGAGGGAGGCTACGCCAGTGAGGCGGTCGACGAGGCGGCCGAGGGCGTTGGGGAAGTAGTCCTCGGCGGAGAAGCTAGACCTCACCACCATGGCCTCGTCAATCACATGGTGGAAGTGCTCCTTGTGCGCAAAGTGCTCTGTGCCGTACTGGTTACCGAACGCCACCGTGCCGACGATGCCGTCCATGTACCCGAAGACGTGATCCTCCAGCGACACCGGCTCCCGCCCGTTAACGCTAGCCGTTGCTAGTCCGGTCACCAGTTTGCCCATCTCGGCCTCCCTGGCGTACCAGGTGGCCTGGATGCGGCGCTTGCTGAGGAACTCGACGACCAGCAGCTTGCGCCGCGCCCGCCACTGCTCGCTGTAGGGGCTGAAGGCCACGTCATTGTGCTGGTACGACAGCCGCCTGGGCCCCGGCGTGTCCGGGCGGCTGCAGCAGTCGGCGTCGTGCGTCTTGAGCACGTCCCGCGCCGCGTCCGCCGACGACACCACCACGGTGGGCACCGTCCCCAGCCGCAGCATCATCACCGGCCCATGCCGCCGCGCCAGCTCCCGGAGGCTCTGGTGCGGCAGGGCACCCATCTGGTGCAGGTTGCCGAGGATGGGCAGCCCCGGCGGGCGCGGCGGGAGCCGGTGGTGCGTGTTCTCTCCGGTGCGCCTTGCCCTTGCTGCTGCTACAAGTAGTAAGATGGAGAGGAGGGGGAGCACGAGCGTGGCAAGGAGGGTGGTTGTTGGGACAAGCTGCCATTCTAGCACCATCTCGTTTGCTTGACGCTTTAGCTAGCTATATCATCATGCTAGGGTATATAAGGCACAGCCGGTGTGAGTTGTGCCTCTATAATTATTGGAAAAGAGTAACGTGTATGAACGAAGAAAGTCTACTGAGCGGACCAGTCTGTTAGCAAACAATATAATGGCTATTTTTATCTCAAAGACTATCACGATCGATGCGTCAGTCTCTGGAACTATGCACAAGAAGACTTGACTCAAGCACAACAACTAACCAGGGTGGTAGCACAGCTAGTAGCTGTTTCTATTTTAATTTGTGGGAAAGTCAACTGCGCTGTGTTGTTGCTCAATTATGACAACATACCGTAGCTATTATAACTACAACGAAAGTCAACTGCGTAGGGTTGTCCCCTAAAAAAAATTGTAGTGCTAAAAAGCTTGTCTAGACACTAAAGTTTTAGTGTTAGATACACTCATATATCTAGATAAATTTAAGACATGCTTTTTAGTATGGAGGTAATATGAAATAGGACACCCATAGAGATCTGACTTTTCCTTAATTATTCACATGAAATAAGCCCCTCTCGCTCACGACCCACATGGGCGAGACGAGAGGCCCCGGCCCTAGCCACCAGCATCGCCACCCCTCCCCTCCATCGCCGCCTGGGATCGGTGCCGGCAAAGTCCGTCGTTGGCTGGCGGCGGCGGAGTGATGCTCCTCCTTCTCTCGGATCAAACGACGGCGAGGGTGCTGGATCCACGAGGACACGGCCTCTCCCTTGGTCCATGGCGGCACGGCGGCTCCTTGTGGCGGCGTTCGTGGTGACACGGGTGGAGATCGGCCAGCGGATGGTGGGGCTGGGCGCGGCCGGTGGCGGCGGCAACGTCCGGCTTCGATCCCGGGGCGGCGGCCCTGGTTAGTGGCGGAGAGTGAAGCTCAGACAGCCTGGAGCAGCATGGCGTGGTGATGCCCCTATCCAAGGAGGAATGCGCCGGCGATCTGGTGGTTTGCTTCGGATTGGATCGGATCGGTGACGGTGGTGAGCAGGAGCTAGATACCCCACCGTGCTAGATGGTATGCCACCCTGTAGGTGCTTGCCTACCGTACCATGTTAGGTGGTAGTCCATTATGTAAGTTTTGCCAACCCTACCGTTCTTGATGATATTCCATCTTGTAGGTGCTTCACAACCCTACTGTTCTAGATGGTACTCCATCATGTAGGCCTAGTTTAAAAAGCCGGACCGGACCGGCAGTTGAACTGGAAAAAACCGAAACCGGCGGCCTCAGCGGTTTTTTAAGCTAATAAAACCGTTCTGCAATCAGACCGGAGAAAACCGGTCAAACCGGGCGGTTTTCTGAAAAACCTGTCAAAATACCGAGCCATGTGAGCACTACGCGGGGCCCGCCCAGGGCCCACCTCAGCCGTGCTACTTTGTTGTCCACTACATGGAAATAATTTTATTTGACCATTGTTTCACACTATATTAGCACCATATATTACTGAACATATATTATTTTACTGCTTACAAAACCGACAATCAAACTTGTGAACCGGTGGTCCGACCGGTAAAAACCTGAATCGACAACCATTATGCTTCGACTTTCCGGTTCGGTTTTTTAAACTATGCATGTAGGTGCTTGCCAACCGTACTGTTCTACATGGTACTCCATCATGTAGGTGCTTGCTCCTGGCAACCCTACTGTTCTAGATGATGTTTAAATTAATCTAACCAAAAACCACAAGTGTGCCATCATGTAGGTGCTTGCCCCTGGCAACCCTACTGTTCTAGATGCCACTTGTGCTCTATTCACTTTTTTTCCGGAGGTAAATTCTATATGAAGGTTCTACTCAAATCATAACAAGTCCTCACATAAGCTCAAGGAACACAAGATTCTACCGTGTCTACTGTAACAAAGCTAAGCACACAATTACACAATACAAACAATACACACATATCATGACAAACGATATAAATCAGACCAAGCATATAACATTGCATACTAGTCCTACACATGCATACTAGGATATAGGACAAGCTTAATCAAAAGTGCAACTTGCCTGGGAGTTGATGATGTTATTCACAATCACAATTTGGATAATTCTACTCGTCACACTCCGAGCAATCTAGTATAAAGAGAAACAAAAGCAAATAAACAACAATGACCAAGAATCCAAATGAACAAGCGCATAAGATCAATTGGGCAAATTACAGCAAAACATCAACTAAAACCAAATACCACTAGATAATATATTACTATGCAATATTATACTCCTTTCGTTCCTAAATATAAGTCTTTGGAGAGTTTTTCACTGTAGACCACATACTGAGCAAAATGAATGAATCTCATTGTAAAATGCATCTATATACATCCATATGTAATTTATAGTGGAATCTCTATGAAGACTTATATTTAGAAACTGAGGGAGTAGGATTGTGGGTGAAGGTTTCATGTCAATAGAATCCGACGGTTGAAAAGATATGGCTTATGGAATATATTCAAATTCAAATGAAATTTGAACAGTGGGTATAAGCATTGCGAGATGGCACATATGCTGGTACAACGGATAAGGTTGACTAGAGGCTCAATATGCAGAATATATGCCACGTCCTAGGGTCACGGAGCAGAGGGGATTCTCGCCGGAGTTGTCATCGGCGACCAAGAAGACGGCGGGGTCGGGTCCGTTGCGTGCTTCACGTATGGTGGTCCTGGAGCTCGGGGAAGATGCTCCAGGGCGAAGTGAGAAACGGCGAGCTCGATTGATGCGGCACTTGGTGGCGAAGAACGCATCCTCCGGTGGCGATGGGGTGTTGTTGGAG